GCTTTCTTTTTCGGGATATTAGTTTGGCAGATATACGTGTTGTCAATTCGCCTCATAGGACAAATGTCATTTGTAACTCCCCATGGAAGGTCGCTACAAAGCCGAAGATAATGGCCTAATCCGATGTAGTTGTACGCGTTTCATTTCTTTTTTCGGGCATTACGTAATCGACTTCATTTCAAGTTTCTCCTTCCTTTTCCCATGACCAAAAGTCGGAAATTTTCACAGCTCAAGGAGAGAATCTCTCTTTAGGACAACGTCTGATGTGAATGCGACGTATGTCGAACTATAAAGAAGGAACGAGTGATCGAAAACAAAAGAAAAGAAGCTGTTTTGATGAGGTGAAATGATATTCTACTTTGGTACATCCGTGATCCATCACCCTTTATCTTTTCTTTTCAAATTTTTTGTTTTACCTCATATCTTGTTGTTCATCTTATCTCTACTTTTAGCATGTCTCTCGATAGATTCTTGTTTGGTACAAGGAACAAAATAAGATAAAAAGTTAAGTAGGAAGCATGAAACTGTGTTTATGAGGGATTTATCAGTATCTTGATCTAAGGAAGAATCGAACTCAAACCGCTAAAAAAAGCTTCGTCAAATCAAAGCGTTGACCACAATAAGCAACTAGTCTTGATTCGCCTTAGTCAACAATAATCAAAGGTTATATATGCTCGAGTTACATATCGTGTAAGCAATGTGTGATAAGCTCAAAAAAAAAACGGAGGGGGTATTTCTAATGTAAGCTAGTCTTTTACGGTTGAACTTTGTGAAGTAAAATGTCTCTAATATATGCATGAATCATTCTATTAGTTATAGAAAAAATAAATTATTAGCAATCTGTCTAATGAATATAAAATTTATGTATAACCGTACATGAACAAAATGGAATTAAATCATACATGGAGAGAGCGTGAAAAAAGCCCCTTGGATTCCAAAAGAGTGATCTATCTATTATTAGTGAAAAAAGCCCTTTGGAATGTTAGTTGAATGTGGCCAAAAGGACAAAAAGAAAAACTAAACTAAAGGAGTTGGGGAAGTCAGAATGCAACTACATATTTTTAAAAAGTTTGAGTAAATTGAGATGTGGGACAATACTTTCAACACACCCTCACTGCTCGTAGAATTTTGACGACGGCACATGAAATTTGACTAATGAGGGATGGAGATACATTCTCGAAAGGGATAAACACTAGCTCTAATATCATATTGGAAAATCCGACCTAAAAGCTTAAGCTGATAAGTGGAAGGAGATTACATGAATATAAAAAGCATTTATGACCCATTGTCAAGCGATGTGGGACAATACTTTTAACAAATCTTATCGGGACATTTTTCTAATCTTTTAACAAACTCGTTTGAAAATGTTCGTGGAAAGGTACGGAAGAACAAGTAGATGCGGCTAGGTCGAGTTAAGTTTTCACTAGACATAGTTTCATGTGTATTTAACGTTTAGAAGAAAGATTGGTCCACGAGTATATATGCACTCTCCATTAATATTAATTTAGCATATTATATACATAAATTAGGGAGGTATGAGAGACAGTATGTCAGCAAAGCAATTAAAAACTATTTTTCCACCATCTTGTTGACTCAGCCTCACCAGGGAAATAGAATATACTAAAATTAGTCAAATTACAATTTAAAAAGCGCAGTAAACAAATCGGAGATAAGCATGATCTACACATTAGAAAATTTCCTTCTAGATGCATATCGCGAAGTATATACTACAATTCTTTTAAGTTATTTCTGCGAAGTTTCATAGGCATTCGACCTATGATAGAAAATTCATAATTTGGCTATGACGATGGTTGATCTAATGTCCGTGAAACATTCATATATTATTATAGGGTTATTGTTAGGTCCAAATCAATGTAAAAAGATACTTATAACTTCACTGTCGGATGTGTGACATGTGTAATTGGAGTTGGTTTTTTTAACTAAGTTGTTTCGCATAGCGATTATCCAATAGTGAATGTGTGAAATATATTTTACAACATCCGACCAAAAATAAAAGAAATATATTTGACAACGAAAGTGAACCAAATATAATTCCATTATCTTACGTTCAATACCAATTAATGCTTTCGAAACACTCCTTAAGGACTTTCTATAAAAATAAAAAGGCTTTTTGCTCTGTCGGTGATAAACTCTACAACTTATCCCAAAAAAAATTTCAATTTTCAAACACTAAGTATATACACTCTACTCGTATATTCTTGTTCGAATATTTAACAAGTGTCACTAAAGCACGTTAATAAAATTAATGCCTTAGTTACTCCATGCCTATTCAAATACAAAAATGTACTGAATGTGGATGCAAGAGATTATCATGTCATTTATTATGCTTAGCCTTATTAAGTGAATTTAACATTTTCTGCATAGAAAAATTGAAGGTGCGATGAGTCATGACCATGCAATGTACAACAGTTGTACGATTGAGTAATCAATTGCGGGCACAGCTAACACCAACTTATTGTCACAACTCTCAACTAATCTTCATTGAAAAATAAATTAAAAAAAGCAGCAGCTTGTGATTTGGATTATGAAGGCTTGTCTTTAAGCAAGTAGAAATAATGATTTGTCTTCTGCGGTTAAATCGCCTTCCACGTCTACTTCACTTTCCATTTCATGGATATATGTATACTCTTCACTTTCTTTGTAGTTTTACGTTGGGGCAAGCACAAGGACTTGGAATAAAGAACTTTGTGTCTTAGAAGGTGATAAAAAAAAAGGAACGCAATAGGAGGAACGTGGCCTCATCTTTGAGATCCCACTTTTGTTCTGATTCTTTTCATCCTTTCTCTTCCACCTAAGAAGTGAAGATCTGAAGTTTGGAATGGAATCATAGTCCTTTGGCACACCAAGGTGTGTCCTTGAGGCTCTGTCTATAGGGCTAGAATGACCTAATCTGTTGCGTCTCTTTTCTATCTTTCTGAGATAGAGTCATAGGACAATGGAAAGGTGAATTCAGAAGGGATTGATGGGATTGTAAAGAGGAAACCGCTCTATTCTCGAAGTCGAAAGATTCCCAACCATTGATGGGATTGCTGCATCTCTTCAATTCTACGAACTTATAATACCTACATTCCAAACCTACATAACCCAATAAACTCAATGCTTTCTAGAACTAAAAGTACCCAAAAAAAAAAAAAGGCAACTTCATTCTTGAGACTATTTTTATCAAAAAAGTTAGATGTTCAAGATTCTTTAAGTACCCAATTGTTGCAGATGTAAAGATCATGAAAAAGAAAGACGAACAAACCTTCTAATTAAGTAAAATATATATTTATTGAATATGATATAAACCTTTCTTGTAAAAGAACACAAACCGTCATTTATTATTATCAAATTGTGACCGAATTTATGGTTGCCTCTTTTCTAGAATGGGTAACCGATAGAAACGACCACACAAAGGAACGTTTGGAAAAACGTATGGAGGAAGTTGGAACCCAAAAGAAGAAAGGAAAATTTGAAATCTTCAAAAGAGCAAATAAAAGCGGAAACAAAGAAAATGGCCAGAGGGAATCTCCGCCTCCTCCCACTCTTTTGTGCTCCATTCTCTCGACACAGATGGCGCCAAGTGGCATTGACCAGAACAAGTAGCTTAGGATGAATGCAATGTGTCACCAACCCAAAATGCAGATTCTAATCATTCCCTGTGCGCTGCAGATTTTGAGGTGGAAAGAGAGATGGCCCATAGAATGTCTCTCCTATCTCTTTTTCTCTCTTTTTTTTATTGTTTTATTCTTATGTTATTTACTTTTTTTTCCTCAGTTTATACAGTTGATGATCAGTTGTTTTGTGTCTCCCCACTTCATCCCCAAAAAACATCCTCTCTGGTGATGCCCCAAGACTCAAGCCAAGCAAGGTATACTGCCGGACCCACACCCTTGGTGTTATTTTTTTTATATGTCCGATTCTAACTCTCAGCTCACTCTCAAACTTTTGTCCTACCTCTTGCAGGGCGTGAGAGTCTAAACCCACATCTGAAACTATACGTTCCCACCCTTAACTCTCCCTGAAAAGGTGGAGAATCGAACTCCCCACCTCCCCCTTCCCAAATAGGAAGGGTGGCCACTGGGACAAACCAGAGTGGTTCACACCCTTGGTTTGTAGTTACTAATTTTAGCACTAAATCTACTAGGAGACAGCTATTAGTTTCTCAATTGTGCATATGTTAGAGAATTATTGATTAAGGTTGAATTATGGTGGAGCCTGCTAAGCTTGCGATAACATTAACTATGCAATCCAAAGAAATGATTTAATTAGTGAGTTTTGTGTTTTGTACTATTGACTCTAATTCAGCACCAATCATGAAGGTTTTTCTTTCACATCTTGGTTGACATATAGATATGTTTGTTTTCTCTTTTTGGTTGTCAACTGTCCTAAAATGATTTAGACTAAGCAAAATATCGTTTGTATATAATATCATGAAAAATTGCAAGGGCAATGTTTTGTGATTGGATCGAACATGTATTTAGATGATAAGGTTTTGCATTATGATATTCCCGTAAACAATAAGGACAAACACTTTTTGCATAATTAAAGATAGTGGGACTCAATGACCTGCTAATTTGTTGATGGATACTAACTGGAAAAGGTCAAAAAGCTGAAATCCAACATGTGGGGTGCTCGAGAAAATCACATGCCAAGGATTAGAATACTTACAACTAAACGCCATGAAATGGATTAGAATACTTGCAACTAAACGCCATGAAATTGACTGGAGGCTGAGGAGTCGCTTTTATGAAAAAGAAGGGGAGCATAAATTCTCCAAATTATTAATGTCTACATACATCCATTCAAAGTCATTCAATCGCGGATCATAAACCAGTAAAATCCTTATGGAATTTGAAGAAAGAACATCGATATTTATGCATTTCTTGCATTGTGATTTTTTTTTCACCTTGTCGTTCTGAGATCGGGCGTATGGAATAATTTTCCCCTAAAAAGGCACGTGAGAGAGAAGGCGTCGAGCAGTCAACTTTTTATTGACGCTTGAAAAATACACATACGCAAGGAGCAGGTATTGGATGCACCCAGATTAGATAGCCCTCATAGCTAAGGTTTTTCTCCGGACAGGAAAACTGGTTAGTAAGAATTAGGAGGATTGGAATGCCAGAGAAGAGAGATGCAAAAAGTTTATTATTCTTTTAAAAGTAGAAGAAGCAGAGATCTGACTCAGATGATGACTCAATAAAGTGGGTAGCTGTACAATTTTCTACGGCATCTTTTATGATAACCCTCATCAAAGATTGATTTATATAAAGCCTTGGACTTGCTCATTTCGCATCATTTCCTCTCTCTGACTCTACCCCAATCTTTTGTTTCTTTTACTCTTCATGCACCTCGTCCTCACAAAAAAGGAGAACGAGATTCCAAATATGGGAAGATTGTTGGTGCACAAGCAATTCTCATCATCTTCAGCATCACCATCATGTTTGAATAATGGATCATCATCAGGAAACGGATCACCAAGACCCTTTGTGGATCCGCTCTGGTGGGGTTCACTAGGCATGATTTCTTCATATGCCTACCAGAAAGATTCAATTTCAAGTGCTTCTAACGATAAAGCTCCATTGTTATGTGGTGGTGATCTCAAGGAGAGCATGTTTCCTTTCAAGGCATTCTTAAATCCACCTGCAAAGATCAACACGTTGAACCAGCCGTCTCCTTCATCGCAGTGCTCGTCGTCGTCGACATCGAGGGTTCCAAGTAATCTAACTTTGTTCTGGCAAGAACCTGAGAAAAAGAACCCATCGACAATGGATTTACTCGGAATGGACACGATTTGTGAGTCCATAGCATCTTCCACAAACAGCCACCTGACCCAGCACAGTCGTGTTCTGCAGCGAGCTGGATCGGAGTGGCCTGTGACAGATCGAAGTTTAGACCATCTATCAGATCGTTCATCATCAAGGGTTTTCGGGGACTCTTGCCATTGGCTCAGCAATACCAAGATTCAGCCTATGAAGTACACGGTAAGGAGATCTACAGCAATCAAGAAGGAGCAAGGGTCGACATCGTCATCTTCACTCTCTTCGTCAGGAAAGTTGTTCCGAGGAGTGAGGCAAAGGCATTGGGGGAAGTGGGTAGCAGAGATTAGGTTACCGAGGAACCGAACAAGGGTGTGGCTCGGGACTTTCGACACAGCCGAGGAGGCGGCCCTGGCCTACGACACGGCGGCATACATGCTCCGAGGTGACTTTGCACACTTGAACTTCCCTGACCTCAAGCACGAGCTGATCAAGGGCAATCGCTCCCTGAACAGCACCACGGCCGCACTCCTTGAAGCCAAGATTAGAACCATATCGCAAGGGGCGTCCCCGAGAAAGAAACTCCATAGAGGATCGCTGCCGAAATCAGTTGGAAATACGGAGGGATTTGCGAGCGAAAGCCCAAGTGCCTCAAGCCCGAAAGACCCACCGGGAAGCGAGTGGCAACTTGAGTTCGAAGCAAGAGTTGTTGGGTCTGAGATGATGAGTCTGAGCAAGAAGACACAAGAGGCCATTGTTAGTACTGGTGCTGATGCAGATGCTGTTCAGCTTAGCAGAATGCCTTCGTTGGACATGGAGATGATTTGGGATGCTATTTTGGTCTCGGATTCGTGACAATATGGTCGGAGAAAAAGATCAATAGAATGGTTTCGGTGAAATTTCTTTCTTTCATGGCTTTTTTTACGATCTTGCTTTTTGAAGGATCTAGACATGCTTTTGAGTTTTTTCCAAGTGTATCTTCAATTCCATTACATATATTACTTTGAATTGTCCAAATAATTGCAGTTTCTACTTTCTTTATATGGTGTTGGTATTTAAAGAGCCAAGTAGGACAATGTTCGATCTTTGATATATCAAGTCATAAGTATTGACTGGAACTGTGATGCATCCAATGGAAAAATTTTGAACGCTCTAGGAGTAGAGAGCGACAGAGATTCAGAAGTAATTGGCCAAGAAAACAAAAATCGGAGATTCTTTTATTCCTTTTATTAGTAAAACGGGTCACGTTACATCATTCAGCAAAACATGAGAAATACCTTGAGGCAACAAAAATTAGAGATTCAGAACTAAAAGCACTCTATCTCAATTTCAGTGCAGGCCCCACTACTTTCTTGATTTGAATTAATGACGGCGACTATCTTCAAAGCACTGTAGAAAATTGGGAATAACTAATACTTGCTCTGGGAATTCACTTGGCTCATCATCAGTCATCACAGATCGCGTGTGTCGGGTGTGTCGTCCCTATGGATTGGTTCTAGCCTAGCAGTAGAACCTGGAACTAGGGTTGGCCATACGGCCGTAGCTGGAGCACGGGAATTTCCCGTGCTGGCCCACGTTCCGGTCCCGAGCGCCTGTTGGCCTTGTGATGCAGGAGCATGGGAGCTTAGAAATTCATCAAGTCCTTGGAAGTTTCATCTAAGGCAAACAGCTTACAAATACAACTCAAGCCTATTTGACATTTGCGCGAGCAAAAAAGAAAGTTTGAACATAACACAATCCAATGGGTCCGATGACGAGGAAGGTATCTAAGATGGAGTTTCAAGAATTTGAAGAATCAAGTCTCATTCAGCGGGGTGAAAGGCTGGAGAGTTGTTCTTCATTATTTGAGGCCTAAACAATTTGTTTTTCATCCTGATCATGAGGCTTTTGAATACGTTAGCAGTCAACACAAACTCAGTTCAAGGTATGTGAAAGGGTACAATTTCTTCAATCACTTTCTTTCATCTCGAAATATAAATCTGACCATACTAATGTTGTAACAGATGCCTTATCAAGGAGATATTCTATCATTGCTGTTCTAGACTATAGGATCCTTCATTTCCAATCGATGAAAGAACTATATTATGAAGAACCGGAGTTCTCATTTATCATCGATAATTGTAAACATGGAGTTTGGGGCACTTATTCGATCTAGGATGGATTTCTTTTTTACGGAAATCAATTATATGGGCCAAAAAGTTCCTTAGAGAATTATTGATCCAAAAAGTGCATGGTGAAGGATTGACTGGCCACTTCGGCGTCAACAAAACTCTTGAGCTTTTTCAAGATCTTTTTTATTAGCCAAAAATGAATGGAATGTGCATGATATCATCTCAAGGTGTACAACTTGTCAAAGAGCAAAGAGTCATTTCCATCACTAAATCTACATATTTTTCTCATGAAATTGTGGTTTTCATCGATAGATGCAATTGTTCCCTCATGCATGCATTTCGATTTTCAAATCACAAAATTTGCTTTCTCGATTAATATCTAAAATCCTTCATTTTCGTATCAACTACTACATATACATAAGAACATGGCGCAAATATAAAAGCCACTTTAACCTTCTGATTGTTTAGTGTTGAAAATTTTGTTTATATGATGTTACGTGAAGTACCTTTCATAAAAATTATTGGAGAATGGAAGTGAAAGTACAAATGCTCGCTTAAGTTTACAAAGCTAGTTCTTATTGACGAGAAGACTCGTATGAAAACTCTCAAAATTCTCAAGTTTCTATGAACTTCGGGCATTGCGGTTTTATGGTTGCCCAGCCATAGCTGGACGAAGCTCGACCTTGCCCAAATCTAACAAGGTCGAGTTTCACCAAGGGCAAGAGGCTAGAGGAAGAAGGAAGAAAAAAAAAAAGAAAGAGAAAGTAAAAAATTCAAAAAAATATTAAAATACTATTAAAATTATCCATGTCAGCACCAGCCACACCACGTAGGATAGATGGCTTTCATGTTAGCAATTTCTAGCCAAAATTGGCGGGATGGACTAAATTAGCACAAATACAAAATATTTAGGACTTAACTGGCAAAAAAATTTTAGGATTAAATTATAGGTTTAGGACTTTTTTTATAATTCTCCTTATATTCTTTGTTTGACACTACATTGAATTTACTTTCATATGCTTTACTTTTATCACATTAATTGGGATTGTCTACTTTTCCAATCCTACATGGACATCCTTACTGGCATAAAATAATAAAATGATCAAAGATTGCCTGAATCAGTGCAAGTAACAAATCAATCAAGATAGGTGTCAAAAGGGTACTAGTTAGACAATTAGTGTAATCAAATCTTCAACCCTAGATCTTTGGTTGCATTGAAAGTGAGTCATGGCTCGCCCCATAACTAGTGGTGACTCCAAGTAGTTTAAACTTCATAGATAAATTTTATTCCCACAATAGTTTCCCAATGTCAAGCGAAGTAAGGGTCCGAGGGAACCCAAGCCATTTAGGGACCGTTGGTCCGCTTTTGGCATTATCTCTAAACCCTTCATTTCCCCGACATGCCTACAGTATTTACTCGTGTGTTGAGAAATCTTTGAAATGTGACATCAATCATACTTATGCTAAAGTTTAATGTATTGCTGTCAAGTGCACACCTTGCCTAAATGTGTCATTTGATATTTTCCCCCCAAACAGTGAGCCATTACTTCATTGCTTATAGTCGTATTAAGGTGAACCCAGTTTTCCAAAGAATTGGCAACATGGCCATCAGTATTCAATAGGGTTCATCCATTCAAATAAAGCAATGATCCACACAAATTCTCCATACTGCACGAGATGGCCACCCAAGTGGTCGCCCAACACAAGGAGCTTCTGATGTAGCAAGCCGAGCAAACAACAATTTCAGTTCAATTGAGACTCGGCCTAAATCAGCCTTCACCCACTGCCCGTACGTGAACCTCATCCTCTCATCCAACTCTTTAGATTTGACCTCCACGATCTTAGCCGTGTTGACCTCGATTCCTCCTGCACTTTCGCCATCCTCATGCTCCGCTTCCTCTCCACCGCATCCCTCTCTGCACCCAACCCTTCGTATTCCCTCACCCAGTAACTGGGTTTGGTGCACGTCAGCACCAACACCACCAACTCCATCAGAAACATAGACATCAAAACCCTGCACTCCAACCTCACCATAACTTTAGCCTGTTTCGGGTCTCTCTATGATCTCAGCAGTGAAAAGATTCACATTTCTTTGGCGAACAGCGCCAGGACGCTCAGCACCTGACCGGACAGCGAAGCGAGGAGGATCAAGACATGGGTCATGAAGCAGAAGCAAGTGAGCTGTGAATAGAAGCCCGCATAAGAGGAGACGAGCAACATGGACAATACTATGATGAACACAAGGCCGAGCGAAGTTGGGTTATTCTGAGGAGGATTATGGGAGCAAAAGATGCTGCAAAGAGCATAAACAGAATGAAGTTCAAGCAAGAGAGCAGGAGATTCGGGAATGAACAAGAACTTCCATAGAAAGAATGTGCCATTATACAGCATTTCTGAAATCAAAGAAGTGATTGTGCAAATGCATGATCAAAGTCATGTATGAAATACACTGTGGACATCGCTTGATAGGATGTTATATTGCCTAATCACCATTCGAAACAATCTGCCTCGACATGAAATAAATCCCATTGATGGTGACAGGATTTTTTGTTTTCACAGATATCTCGTCGATGATTGAACTTTTAATGAATGTAGAGGAAGAAAATGGATGTGAAAAATGAAGAGCAAACAACTGATGAAGTAGATTGCATATGCTTCACCACTAAAATACTTCACTTATGCACGTCAACAACATTGGTGAAATTTTAAGGCATCAAAAATCATTCTCCACTACACCACTGATCCTCATCGTCCCTCCCCATATTCCCGCTTCTCCAGCTAAATACGAAATTCAGACGAACAGTATATGCTGCAATTAAATATGAATATCTGCAAAGAAACAATTCAAATCATCAAGCCATTACCATCTCCAATCTGTAGGCAAAAAAATATGATAAAATCTACAGCATGGAAAAAATTGAGAAACCAAAAATTGCATAATCAAGTAACTAATGCCAGTCGATAACATGTGGAAAAAAACAATACGAGACCCCACTACCTGAGAATAAGCAACTTCTAAGGCCAGCGTGAACTCTCAGAAACAAAACAAGTTTTTGCTTAGCCATGTTCAAGATTTTCACGTGGAACCGTTGTCCTTTGCACATTAGATGCTAGTAATTCTCATTTCAATGCAGTTCAAAGGAGCCAACCAATAAACATACCATCTCTTCACCAAAGTCCACTAAACAGCATCTGGATAGCTTAAAATGGCTTCCACTCTATCTAGCGATGCTTGCAACCGTCCAGAGTTCATGTTGAATAATGGCTCATCAGTACCAAGACCCCTGTTAAATAAAACACACAACTTGAACCACAGAAAAATTTAATAAAAGAAAGTGACATACATCACGGAAGTGCATGACCCACGCTGTAAGATCACTGTATATTATAAATCATCATACTTTGAACTGGCAGAATTTTTTGATGACATCAAATAGGTGTAGAAATAGAACTTGTATTGGTGTTATAGCTCATTGAGTTTCTTCCAAGAGCAAAATAGTGGAATTGAGAAGTAAGAACTAACCCTGTGATTTCTGGAAAAACGTAATCAGCCCTCCACCCAAATCGAAAATCTACACCTGGACAAAGTCCAAGAGTGGTCTTATTTCTAATTTGAGATACGCCATCTCCACCCAAACAAGTGGTGAGCTTCCATTTCCAACCAATGGCATTTAACTGAAAATTGTGGCCTACACCAACCTGTAATTTCAAAGCATACCAAGCTGACTCCCCAAAAGCATTACCAATCATCGTTACCCACAGAAGTTAACAGACTTATTGATGATTGAAAATATTCAGCAACACCAGCACAGAACAGAGGTGCAATCAACGAGGCCTCAAACCTGGAGATTTAAGAATTTTGTGACAGGAATCTTTTTCGAGAGAATGCGCACATCTTGATGTATGGGCTCATAGACAAACTTCCACCGACGATCTGGGGATAGAGGCTTGAACACGAGCTTTGCTTGAAAATCATTCCTTGGAGCATTGTAAAACTGAATCAAAGTGTCACGTCAATAATGTCACAATGAGGCTTTATTCCATAACTGCATTAACTGAACAAGTAGAGTTAAACCAGGCCTTAGCGGCTCCAACAAAAGTTTTGCTCGATTGTCAATCCTCATCGCACTATAAGACAGACCCAATGTGTCGAGAACCATGATTCATATTGAGTCATAAATACATACAGAAACATTAAACACATACATTCTCAATTGTTCCGCTTAAGCTGAAGTATGGTGAACGAGGACACAGAAATCAAAATATCCAATGAACTAACATCACTGTCAGAGCTTATAAAAAAACAAAAGAGACAATAAGGAAAAGAAATTCTATGTCCATCTACTTCATCATGCGAATTTTACTGTGTATTAGGTCAATAAGGAAGATGTAGCGAACACAAAGCCAAGCCAATCCAACCAATGGATTCACGGAAATTATATTGATTAGCATATGTCGACAGAATCTATGCGAATGACTATAAGGCTACAACATCCTGTGTGACAGATCTTATACAAGTCTGATTCATGCTCATGAAAAGAAAACTCATAAAAGTGCTCCCGTTAATCTACTCAATTTACTGACCAAAAAAAAATCTACTCAACTTCTAAATTTATGAAAACTGTAACAAAACCTTATTTAAAACCCATGAAAGCATGGATTAATATCTGAATAGTTTAACACTCTCCAGATTCTCCCTTAAATGTGGACTGACATATTGACTCAACACAGAGCCCTAAAATGAACTTCTACATGCGGAAGCAAACAAGAGGGCCACGAGTATGTATAACTCACGAAGTTGCATGTCAATTTCTCAGGTCAATCTATCTGAAAACTTAAACTAGATGTAAGAATCACTAAAAATCTTTCGACTTTTTAAATTCTCTCAAACATGCATGTTAGAAGAGTAGTTACAAATTTAACAGCCAGTGCCGCAATCTCTGACATTGATTAAACAGCGAAGTTGTGCCATCCGCACACTGAAATATCCGGCACTTGTCTTCAAGACCAATGAACGAGTATGCTGTATCAAATTAGACAGGAACCGCATCTAATATGCACACCCGATCAATCCAAGTCAGCAACATAATAACCAAATTTAGAAGGAACAAGAAATTCACAATTCAAATCGACCCGAGCTTCAGATACCATATGTAAATGACCTCAAAACGAAACATTCCATTCATTCCTTCCACGCCTTTGGCAAGAAAGGTCTGCTTCATCTATCCACAGCTCTCTCAACAAAATTTAGCCGCTAGATCACCCTCTTTCATTCATCCAGGCCAATCATAATTGCCAGAGGACAAACTTCAAACATGTGGCATTACAAACGCAAGCAAGAATTCAGAAACAGCAGAAGAGACACCTCCAGATTAACACCGACTCGGAGTCCCTGAATTTCTTTCCGAAACTTGAGGAACAACTCGGAGGGCATCAAATTGACGTTGTACAGCTCGTCCCACGAAGTGGGTTCTTCGCCGGCTGGACCCGTCTCCATGTTCAAGCTCTCAACGCTACAAAAACCCGATGAAGAACAGTTCCTTTTTAACAACACAAGAATCGCCAGCACATTTCACTCAAGACCCAACTCTCAAAATCGAGAATTTAGACACTCAGCACTGATCCGACGCTTCTTCGGAGATGATGCAGCCCATGTGGGATCAGTTTCTGGGTGCCTCGCCATGGACGAAGCTTCTCTCTGCATCTGTCAAATCGACCTCACAGTTGGCGTCGAAACAAGTGGTAAAGAATCTAAAAGCGTACCTTCGAAACTAGAAAGGCTGGACTCCTTTGGCGCCTATCGAACTGTTTGTTGAATGGCGAATCAAAATTATTGGGTTGAAGGTCTCCAGCTACGAGTATGAACGAATTTCGCTGAAAAAAGGGAAAGTATTTTAATTTATTTCTTTTGGGTCGGAAAAAAGGGGAATTATTTACTCGGCCCAAAAAAATGGTGCTTTCTTTTTCTGTAAATAAAAAAAAATAACATTATTTTTTGACATGTCTATGTACTCAGTAATTGCAGTTTTCAATTGGAACAATGGATTATTAACTATCGAATACGTAGACGGAAGCTATGCCGCATTTCGGGAATAAGATTATGTTTACACAAAAAAATGGCTAACTTGTCGACATGGTTCGTTTGTGCCAAAGATCATCAAGGGACACGTGGCGGAGACTTGAGGTAACGTGAAAGTAAATATCATCAAGTTGCCAACATAAGGGACACATGTCTCTGACATGTGTCATGTGTATATATTTACACCCAAAAATGACCAATTTTTGGGTATTATTGACAAGACTGGTCACGACTTCATCAAGGAAATTTCAGTTCTGCGCTAGCTCGGGAAAATAGTCATAACTTCTTTGAGACAGATCGGATTGACCTGATTCCAAAGCCAAAAGAACGAAGACTCATGGATCTACAACTTTTATGTTTTGAGTTTTCTCAGAAAATCACCGTAGAAGCCATCAAGGTTAAAGGAAGTCGACGGTCGTGACTTCATCTTGTCGAGGACTTCGACATCTTGTCGATACTTCGACGAAATTGCAGTTCTGCGCTAGTTCGGGAAAATGGTCATAACTTCTTCGAGACAGATCGGATTGACCTGATTCCAAAGCCAAAAGAACGAAGACTCATGGACCTACGACTTTTATGTTTTGAGTTTTCTCATAAAATCATTGTAGAATCCATCGAGGTTAAAGGAAGTCGATGATCGTGACTTCATCTTGTCGAGGACTTCGACATCTTGTCGATACTTCGACGAAATTGCAGTTCTGCGCTAGGTCGGGAAAATGGTCATAACTTCTTCGAGACAGATCGGATTGACCTGATTCCAAAGCCAAAAGAACGAAGACTCCTGGATCTACAACTTTTATGTTTTGAGTTTACTCAGAAAATCACTGTAGAGTTTTCGACATTAAGAGGAAGTCGACAGTTGTGACTGGTTGGAGATGCAGAAAGAAGAAATAACCGTCAACATAGTGGAGTCAAAGCAACCGCCAACGTAGTGGAGTAAAAAGAAAACGGTCAAGGTAGTGGATTCAACGTAACTGTTGGAAACTACTAAGGAGCATACATGCGAGAACAGTTACTTGGAACCATGATTATGAGGAAGTTATCACTTGTGGGCAAGATTGTGAGACAGTTATCTTGAAAGCAGAATCATGGCAACACATGGACATGAAGACAAAATTTTCGGAATGGAAGAACATGGGCACAACTGTTGAAAACTGCTAAGAAGCAGTTACCACACGACCATTATAAATATCACCGGCCATCTACCGGAGAAAGCCCCCGACAAAAATCAAACAACATGTTATCTTTCAATTATCTTTACTTTCATCTACGCACTTTATCTTTCCTTAGCTGTAGCTTTCCGATTCGCGTCGTTGATTAAATTCCGGCGTGTATCTCTATCCCAAGTGTTGCGTCATCGATTAAATTCCGGCGTTACATCTTTGTGTACGTGTGCGGCTGTATTTTCTAGCTTTGTCGTCGATTAAATTCCGGCACGGTTTGTACATATAGTCCGGCTCGAAGTTCGGAGTAAAAGTTCGCTGTTTTTCCTTGTCTCCCTAGATATTTCCTGTCCGGAGTCGCCACGGAACCCGGTCTCCTCACATTAAGAATCGAAGAACGACTTTCGGTGAATTATATTTCGCCGCGGGAGCATTTTCTGGTGAAACAGATTAATACCAGTAAAAATTTTCAAATTGATGACGCATTACACGTTTAATCTAAATTAATTTCGTCTAAAAAAATATCCCAAACTGGTCTAATCTTGCAAAACTTCTCAAACCGGTACCCCTGATCCAAATCCAATCTCTACGTCATATCCCAAATTGCTGTCGAATGGTAGATTTGAGGTGAATGTGTCATGAGTGCCAGTTGGAATTTTTCCTAAGACAAAAATTAGTGAGGAAATTGTCTAATCAATCATAAACATAATGTACCGATGACAATTTTGTTCTAAACTTTTCAATTATGTTAATTTAATCAAAAATCTTTTCGCAAAATTTAAATGTAGTCTTTCGTTTAATTTTCATCGGACTAGACTGCCACTTCAACGATTTTTAACGAAAATTGACCGTAAAGATTACATAGGAATTTCACACAAATGTTTAGAACTATATTGACAAAATTAAAAAAATGTTTATAACTAAATTGATATCCGTACAATAAATTAGGACTGATGAGGTAATTTTCCCTTAATTTGAGTAAGTATTAACCCTTCCCAAAATGCATAACACAAATATCACGCCATACCTCTAGAGCTTTTTTTAACGACTTTATAATGGGTTAGTCGCGATTTGGAAGTTCACAGCTATAAAGTCAAAAATCATAGTTATAAAAACGAAAATATTTATATTTGCAAGATCCAATTTTAGGATAATATTTCTGACTAAACATGAAAATTCTAGCAATGAGATTCTCATTCCTTCAATAGTCTACTTCCTAGGTGAACCCTATAGATCTATCCCCTCCTATTATTCTTCTCATCATGAAAGCTTACCATGCCATTTGCTCGTTTACATACAAGTTGAATAAAAAGTTGCCCAATGCCAATGACTCTTTGATACCTCAAAATGAGTTTGTTCAAGTCTCCTAAATGTTGACTCATAAGTAGACTCATCAATGTTTTGATGGTACAAAATTGCTGAGTTGCCATGTGGCTCCTCCAGCAAAATCTTCATTAGTTCATTGATCACCAAGGTCGTAAAAGCACAGAACATGCCATTTAGATGCTGGAAAGTACCGGATGCAAGTAACCAGAAAGGCAACTCTAAGTAGGATGAGATGTGAAAGATAAACAGAAATGAGCGAGCTGCGAAAATCTGATTACATGAAAGCAAGAAGCACAGTGGCAACAAAGTATCCAGAAAGGCATCTTCAAATAGGATGAGATATGAGAGACAAAAGTTGGCGAAAAGCGAAAAGACTTTATTTACACGAATGCAAGAAGCGCGGTGGCTATCAGGCTAACGAACAAGAAACAAAAATATCCATCTGCAAAGATGCAATCGACCATCTTCAAGATGCCCCCAGAAGCAAGTGACTAATAGCCCGAATGCACAGTACTAATCGGCTACGTGACGTTTCACGATCTCTCTACATTATTAAAACCTCCAAGATAAGCTCCATTTGGCAAATCAACCTGTTCCCTTGTCCTTGCCTTCATGGTGAATTGCCAATGCAGACACGTTAGGCGTTGGAGCAGCCATGGCTCGTAGGTCAGTCAGAGATAGGGACCGGCACAGATTCTGCCATGGAGGTTGTATGGATGCCCCAACGCCCTCCGGTATTCTCCCTTGTGGATGTAGCGGCGAGAGAATGCAAGACGGCAATGTAGACATTGTGTTGGAATTATTCGTGTTACTACAATTTGTACTAGGCGATGCACTCTAACTGAAGTTATCTAGTCTATTCTTTACCCCGCTCCTGCCACCGTTTCTGAAAGTATCGCCATGATTCTTGAAGCCGAAATTACTGTGAGCTAGTAAGATTTTGGGTTTCCTGTTGTAGGAATTATCGGGTTTTGCAAGGCCTTTAATGGAGGAAGAGGACGAGGACAAGGCCTCTGCAAGGCTCGGGAAGGACTTTGACTTACCACTGTAGAAGTTCGATATGCCTTTCCTGAGAAATCACCGGAAAGAAAGGCAGGGACTTCAACAAACTGTCTTTTGACCATGAATATGACTATTTGGAGGTCACGTGCATGAATTTCTTAAAGCATGGCATTGTATTACACAGAGATCAAAATTGATACTAGTCGAGCGTTATAGACTCAGATTTTAAGAGCAAATCCGGCGCAAGCCAATGCAGATCACAATGACTTTCATACCATACACTGGCATTGGTGGACTCTCAAGGGTTTTGCCATGATGCATAATGCACGTCACGTTTCCAAATACTGCAATATTTGACAGCTTCTTTTTTCCTCCCCTGAAAAAGATTGAACACCATGATGCTGCATTTTTTCTAGATTTACCTTTACAACTAAAGTTCAGAGTTTGGCCCAGACACTATTATGGGTTGGATGGATCCCCTTCCGTCTATTGTGGATAGCTCGTTGGACAGCTTCGGTTGGACACCTCATCCTTCTAATTCCTTTTCTGTTACTCTTGCTTGGAATCATATCCGAAGGAAATGGCATCCAACCCCCTGGCATTCCTTCATTTGGGATCGGCACATAGCTCCTCGTCATGCTTTTCTCCTTTGGTTAATATCCCTTAACCGGCTACCTACCCAGGTATTCTTGTTACAAAATCGCAGGATTGCCGATGCTCTCTGTGCCTTTTGTGGATCTACACCAGACTCAATCAACCATCTCTTCTTTGAATGCACTTCTACCAGTAGATTGGCTTCTCTTTGGGCGACAAATTGCAGGCTACCTTGGCGCAATCGTCCCTGGCAAGAACATATCCTCTGGGCTATGAAAGTTTGCGGAGGATCTTCGTTTGCCCACCGCATTTCTAGATTTTCCTTTGGTGCTCTATGTCACATTATTTGGACCGAAAGGAACAACGCTATCTTCAGGAACAAAAGCGTTTTCATCCCTGGTATGCGTAAGCATCTCTTCAAAGTCGTGAAGGACAAAGCTATTTCCATGGGGACAGTTGAGGATACTTATAGGAACCGCATTGTCCAGAGAAAGTGGGACCTTCCTCCTTCTATCTTTGATTAATGACGATTATGGCTGATCTGGTGCCTTTTGGAGCGGATTCCGGAGTTGTGGGCTTCACCTCCGTGGTTCGGTTTGGCCCGGCTTATTGTGGTGGTTTTGGTTTCCCGGCGCCTTTTGTCTTGCTTGGGTAGTCTTGCTCCCGGCTGTTCGGGGCCCTCTTCGACAGATTGCCGGAGTTTTT